CACAAAGATTAACGGAACGAGAAATGCTCAGAGCGACTGATTTGTGTGTAAACTCGAGCCGCTTGAGAGCGCGTTTAGTCGGTGCGTACTGATTTCCTGTTTAAGCAAAAACATGTTCGCATTAGTTTAGGCCCCGGTCAATTTTGCGCTTTCAACAATTTAAAGAAAATTATTTCCTGAAAAAAAAGTTCATTTTAAATATCTTAATAAACTTGAGGCACTTTTAAAAAAAGGGCCCTAAAGTTTACAGAGTGCGCACATCTGTTGCAACAGGTGCCGTAGCCGAAGAGGGAAAAACAGTTAAACGAGTTAAAATGATAACGAGCCCCGAGCCGATCTGTATGAATTCTTAAAGAAAATGTGATTCGGATTTTTATAGAAGTCGAATTAATTGGAAAATAATTTATCCATATTTCCCAAAAGAGAGAGAGAGAAAAAAAGACGCAAGGAAAATGGGGAACATTTCCCTCTACTTCCCTTAAATTGCTGCACGTAGCTTACAGACACAGACAACGCTTTAAAAACAATATATTTTCCCCGATATATTACTGAAATACAGTCTTGTTATTTAATCCGTTATAAACTCTGTGGCAGTAGAAAATTACGCGCATCAAACGGGACCTTGATGCTGAGGCGCACCTGCACCGAAACTATAAGGAGAGTCTTTTCCAGTCAGGCGCAAATGTCTCCTAAACCATTTCACTGCCATCGAAATCACTTTAGAGGTATTGGCCTAGCCTTTGAGGTGAGAACCGAGCTGAAATGTGCGGTTGAAGTCACTTTACCTGCTATTCCTTGAGTTTGCAGTATGAAGTTCTTCCAACTCTCCCCGGCTCCATGTGCAGAAGGTCGCAGCGCCGCGGCGGCCCCATGGAGCTGCGCCCTGAGTCCCTCCCCTCTCCACTGCACTTCCTCGTTCCAGCCCAACATGACTATGTCTCTCAGCTCGGCTGAGGCATTTTGCTTGCTTTTATCCACAGTCTGCAGTGGGGAGTCGGGCCACCGAACCCCTGGCACTTGCTTTGTGCCGTGCCAATAAAAGCTGACACCCAGTAGACCATCACTGGCAGCCATGCATGAGATGGGATGAGGCGAGCGAGGAGAGTGGACCATTCATTGTTTATTTATTTCATTCACACCGAAGAAGCTGATTGGGGTTGGGGGAGGTGGGGGGGTAGTGTGGGCTGGAGGGAGGGGGAGGGGGGGGTTACTCCTCACTTGCATATTGGACAGCTCCCCTTCTGTCACCTGTTCTGGCACTCTGAAGCAGTCCATGAAAATAACACAAGTGTTTCCCATATAATGAGCTTTTCCTCTTCTTCTATTTAATGTTTCATCCAGTTTGCTTCCCCCATCCCCCCACCCCCACCTCTCTGTGTTACCTCTAGCGTCATAGCCTCCTGTCCTGTACCTTAACACAGCACGAATGCAGCGTACACAATCAGGATTACGTCTGAGCCTGAGCAAACAGTTGCATCTCTTAACATTAGCCTCCTTTATTACTTCCTGTTTTAAAATACGTGTACAGTAAGTGCATCCTCTCTCAGTCCTGCAGCAGATCATCATTCAGATATGCATTAATTTACTGAAATGTGGTTTTCCCTCTGGTTTCATGAGCAGGAATCTACAAACCAACACTGGGCCACCGGCTCCAAGTGTATCAGATGTGTTAGTTTCAGATGCTGCCACTGCTACCAGCATTCACATTAAAGTCAATCATCTCAGTTCCAACGCGGCGACAGCTCACATGCTCTCAAAGTCGAGCTATCACATCTTACAGTACGGCGATAACACACACGCAACTGCTGCCCGGTGACAGCCGCACACACCATTATACAACACTGTACTTCAAAGAGGCTTTCTGGCCTACAGTTTGTTTTATTGCTAACCTGTGTGGCAGCTTCTAAAGCAGCCCTATAGGTGACTCCTGAGCGGACTGCCCACATATGGAGTCTGAATTTGTTCAAATAAATATACATTTTGGACTGAAAATGAAGAAAATTCCAAATAAAACAGGAATTGCACACCGCCGTCGACTTTAAAACTCAATTTGAGATATGTCCCGTCACTAGTATCTCATGGTGGAGCTTGTAATGTAGTTCAGTTTGAACCCCTGCTTGATCAGCTGTGTTTACATATATAAATGAACCTACCGGATTAGGTTGGACAAGTTTGCACTTCATTTTACAGAATATGTGATAGTTTATACTCCACTATTTTCTCTTTCTCCTTGTGGCTGTTTTTTCCCAGTGTCCCACAAGCCCCAAAGAGGGCTCTTATCTCAGGAGAGGCCGTGTGGCTGGATTGCTGAGTCACCTTTTGCGGGAGGCTGCCCTTATCTCCTAAGAAACACAGCATTCAGTTGGTTGCAAAAGGAGGAACTTTGGGCAGGAGCAATGCGGCCTGCTGTGTCTTCATGGCCATAATATGGATTGCAGCAATGCTCGCTGACTTCCTCATAGCCTCACAGTCGGTGCTGCTTTTTTTTTTCTGTAAGGTCCGTTTTAACGCATGACATGCAAAGGTGTGAACACGCTGCAGGATGGGTTAACTCCAGAAGTCGCGCAAAGGGAAGGCTGGGACAGAAAATGTGACTCAGCGCTACTGGCGACCTCGAAGATGTTGGTTCATGGCTGTGATCGCCTGCGATAAGAGATGCTGTCCCGTTCAGTGACAAAGCAGCTTCACTTCAGCCGAAATTTTAGAGAAGTACCAACAGAAGTGGGATCAATATTCAGATCTTCCCTCTAATGCCTGACTTGTTCAATTCTTACTGGTCGTTTGGAAATGCTCTCAAACTTCAAGGTTTTATAAGGTTATTATAACTCTGTAGCATCGAAAATGACACATGCGACATGCATGGAGTGTGACTCAAACTGCACAGAACCCTTTGCTCTCTCAGGTTAATCCACAATCTGAAGCAAGCCATGTTGTTGTAATTAATATCATTATCTAGCAAGCCTCAAAACATCATCAGGCAATGTAGCCGGCTGACTAACATACAATAGGCTGCGGACGGTTCTTATTTCATGGATCTTTAAGCAGTATTCACTGTTTCACATTTGGAAGCATGAGCAGCATGTAACCCTTAATTGGTTTCAACACCTTAATAAGTCAAAGACGTTCAAGACCGATAATCACATTAAATAGTCCAATTTATCTAAAAAGTCAATTGCAAAGTGAAAAACTCTCTTTCTTTAGGAATGCATTATGCTGCGAGGATGTCAGAGTAAATTAAATTCCCCTCTGCACACTAAAGCATCAATTTCCTTATGGTAATTATCTGCTGGAATAGACGTGTCACTAGAAGGAGTCAGGCATGCTTGACATTTAGCCTTTTTATGGAGCGGCGATGAGTAAAAATTAAGATGAGGAAAAGGAAATTAATCTGCAGCCCGGGCAAGCATTGAGAGATCCTGGAGGATAGTGGCTGAATCAATCATGGTGTTTGTGAGCCTGTTTTGAAAAGGAGCCGGTGATGAGATTCAGACCACAGGCTGGAAAATCTAAGCTGGAGGAGGAGGAGGTTTTTAGCAAATAGAGTTATGATTGCTATGAGAAGTCTTACGTAGTCCTGTTGGTCTTAAACACAAAGTAAATTGGGTGCTATACAGAGAGGCCGTCTCACTCTCAAGATTATTACCACTGTCGTGTTGTACGCTGAATATGTATTGTACCACCAGGTGAAATAAATACTGGAAACATGGCTGCAGACAGCCACATTATTAGGGGTTAAATAGTGAGCTTTAAAAGGTGCCGTTGTCCTCTGCAATTTCATGCATTTGTACGCTAAGCTAAGCAGTTAAGAGAGTTCTGCTATCTAACTGTGCAAGAAAGCCAAGGAGTTAATTGCCTAACATGTTCCTCAACTTTCTAGTATCTTTCAAAAGTCATAAAATTAATGCAAAACAACAGTAATTACAACTGAAAAGGCTCGCTTTAACAAAACTAACAGCTGTTTTTTTAGCATAAGTTGTTTAGCATAATAATCTGTGGCTGTTAGACATCAATCACCAACAGAGCCGTGAGCTGATATCGTGCCAAAAGGAAGGGTGCTGCCTCTAGATTCACTGGAGTCGCAGCAGCATAAAGGAAAAGGGATAAATCTTAACCTTTCCATGCACATAATTCACTTTACTTACCAATTTTCTCAGCGATGCATTAACTGGTAACATCTTTTAAAAAGAGAGAGAGAGAGAGATTGCACTTACTGCACTTAATAATGCTCTGTTACTTTGACAACTATGGTGGAAGTTGTGCAGTTCTTCGTATGTGATGGGTTTGATGGAGAGCTGATATCATATTTCTCGCTGTGTAAAGACTGCTTTGGACAAATATCAGCATGAAACAGGACCGATGGAGTTCAAAGGCAGTTTAGGGTCATTAAACAAGACACAATGGATGATATTTGCAGACTTGCCTACATTTCTTTTCAGTCTATATTTGGGAGTCAAAAGTGTCTGTCCAGAGGTCAGTGGCCTACGTGTGAGGGTAACGTTTTTTTCATGCTTTCGCTTGGGCCAGCGAGCTGCTGGTGTTCTGTGGTGAGGTTAGCAGCATTAAAGCAATAAGTAACTTTTGCCTCCAAAGTCTTCATGTCAAAAATTAGGACTTTCTAGGCTTCTCAGTTTAAAAACGTTTTTTTTTTTTTTTGATTATTTTTAATTTAAATCTCTTTTGAGTGCCCTCACTTTTGGAAGTGCAACAATAAATAGCTAAATAAAACACAAATGACACTAAATATACAATAATTAAAAAGAAAAGATGCATGTATTAGTGATCACACAACCCAAAGTCCTCACATGTATCAACTTTGTGCTTAAGTACAAAATCCTCACGAAATGTAAATCTAAACAAAGTATAGATGAAGAGAAACAGGAAAACCATCTCATCCCTATTTCCTGTCTAAGCGTCAAGCTGCACTAACCGCAGACATAAAGCTATTGCTGCCAGGCACATCATAATAATGTCAATGTGCGTTACAGTCGCATCTACAGAAATCTAAGCGATGTATATACTGAAGCCCACAGACAGCCTTTTGAATGCAGATTAGCCTGTTTAGTCATAATGGATCTGTAAAGCTGCCGTAATTTGTATACTTTTAAAAACGTAATGATAGCGCTAAAAATCCTGACTTTCCTCAATATTTCGCCCCTCTCTTTGCCCTTCATGACAGACGCACACACACACACATAGAGTAAACGAGCAAGCAAGCGAGTCAGTGAGAGAGAGCAAATATTTAAGAGGACAATGCAACGCACTCACTACCCAGAGTTAGAAAACCACTCATCTAAATCAGGGAAATTATGATAATGGGGCATCTCATTATTCTTTAACTCACTCTGAATAACTCACTGACATCACATCATCGTAGATGTATTCATATAAACAGATTGGATGGCGTGAATAGGAAGCTGACATCTTCGAGCCCTCTCTCATCTCGTTTGTCTAAAGTCTTGCTGTGGCGCTCGTGCACCAGACAGGAAGCACGGGTCTCATGAAGGGGTTGCAGGGAGCCACGGCGGTCACCGTTCTGGACAGGAGCGCTGTGTGCCTGAAAACAGAAGTTCCAAATTCTTCGAATGCTCTGTGAAAAGATGTAATGATATCTGTGAGTCACTGAATTACACGTTGTTTTAGATGACGCAAAAATCTAAGAACCTAAAGCTAATCTTTGTAGTGAAACACAGACTGACAGAAAAAAAAAAACCCTCAGGCACTTCTGTTATGAGTGAGCGTTAGTAAGCGAAAATCCCGGGGATGTCTGACCGTTGTAGCAGACAGTTAATCAATCCAAGAGCTTGTCTTTTTTTTCTGTTTTGGGGGAAAAAAATGGGAGGCCAAGCCTAATCAGCAGAGGAAACAGATCGCAGGGGGGTGTCAGGCACCAGGAAAATGGATCTGGGTTGTGAAAAACCACCATTACCACGAGCTGCTCTGGATTCAGCCATCTGGAGATGCCTGCTCCAAAAGCCGGTAAAGTTCGCTAAACTGGGGCCCAACTAGGAAACAGGTTTGCACATCCTTAACAGACAGCCAACACTCCCAGAGTGGAGCCATGTTTGCTCTGCACAGTTAAGGGGCTCACTCGTGTCAACGCACATATTTTCAGTGTTGCACTGGGAATTAAACACCTTAAGCTTTCCTTTTTAAATAAACCTTTTCAGTTTCTTTTGATGAAATTTGCTCAATTTGAGAAAATCATCGGTGAAATCCTCCCCTACAACACATATAACATCTCTCAAATTCCTACCTGTCTGTCTTTAGGAATGACGGCCGTTGTTTTTAATCTGTTTTTTAACATTTCCAATTACTGAAGCCTTTTCCAGCTGACCATTAACCTGCACCTCACCTGCCCACTCATGCAAAAAATAAGGTATACTAAGCTTTTAAGCAATGCCACTCAAATATGTACAGCACCCAAAAAAAGATAAAGTTCAACAACAAATCAAATTAAAAAGTAGGAGCATGAGAAAACAGTGATTATTCAGGATTTATATTATTTCTCTTAGCTGTTTTGTTGACACTGTTTTTATCTTGTCTGCCCATTTCCCTAAAACAGTGTCCGCTCTTTTAGTTTTACTAATTTCATGCTCTTTGGTTTATTTTTCTCCAGACTGCACACATGTTTATGCATATTTTTTGCATTTTTCTTGGCTCTGTGGTGTAGTGGTTAACACGTGCACCCCACATCTAAAAGGTCCCCAGTTTGACTCTTAGGGGTGATACAAACTTAACCTCAGGAGTTAGTGTGCGCCCAGTGCCAGTCTCTGGCTACACTTTGATATATAAGGTAAGCTGAAAGTATTGTCATTTGTGTGTATTTCTGCCACTGTGGCGAGTTGTAGTCACATTTTCATAGACACCAGTAAATAATGGGCACCTGTATAGTGAAGTTAACAGTGCAACCTCATGTCTATGGATTGCATTAGACCGCCCTCTAGTGGAGAATTGTGATGTTTGCTTTTTTTGTCTAACTGGATAAAATGCTGGGAGAAAGAAATATCAAGGTGTGCAAAATAGTAAAATGATAAACTCAATCAACCCACAAATTTATGACTTACTTATTTCACAAGATGACAAGATAAACAATACAGACGATATATTATATACTTTTTAAATGTCATATTTTATAGGACATAATCAGTTAGCAATAACAACGGAAGTCTGTTATCAGAGTTTCATTCAGACTCACCCAGATGAGCTTGCAGAAGTTGCAGGAGCTGCAGAGTCAGCATAGGCAGCCATGCCTGTGTAGCCAGGGATGGTGGTTCGGCTGGCACAAGGAAAAGATGTTACAGACACTGTAACTTGTAAATGAGACACAGTGAGACAAAAAAACACACAATTTTTTACACCTGACATGTAAAAAAATTGTGAAAAATACTTTGTGCTTAACAAACAGTTCTAGAAAAACCACAATGAATGTAAGTGTGTGTGTGTGTGCGTGTGCGTGTGTGTGTGTGTGTGTGTGTGTGTAGATGGCATTCAACCCATCAGGTCTGCATGTTTTTGCTTCTGGTTTATTTTTGTTTTATCCTGAATGAGGACGACCACCACCTGCCACCTCGCCATACTGATCTTTAGTGCTTAAAGTTGAGATTTCAACAACAAAATCAGAAAACAGACTGACAGCATGACAGTATCTCGGTCCTGTTTCCAAGCTACCTTGATCCTTGCATCACTTTTCAGCACTCTACAAAGCCCCAACAGGCTTTTTCAGCCTGGAAACAATACAGGAAGCTAAAAAAAGAGCAAAATAAAAGCATTCAGAGCAGCAGATAAAAAAAATAAAACCGTAGACACTTCTAAATGTCAGCACCATGGACATGACTGATCATTTAGATTAGAATTCCCTACAAGGTGAAATCTGGTGAGATCTGGAATGTCTTATTTCCACTTGTTGAACTGCAGCCTGCAAAAAATGTGACGCTCCCTGCTTGTTGGCTTTCCAACTGATGGTGCAGCAACGATTCCACAGAGGAGCCACACTTAGACTTGGAAAAAAAAATCAATCTTGAATAACAAGTTAGGACTTGCTCTCCTCCCTGTCTGTGCGGACATTTTAACAGATGATGGCTAAAGACGGGCAGAGTGCAGCAGATGACTCGCTCACAGGAAAGCAGAGAACAAAGCAAACACCTGTCAACAAGGTGGACATTTTTTTCAGCCTGGCCAATAGGAATACACTTGTGCAAATTGACTAACTATGTTTGAAATAAACCAATTAAAATGCTCTAGTGGTTATTTGTTGAAGCTTCAGACTTGTTTAGATGAAGTTCATAATTATTCTACAAGTGTCATACCGGTCCATCGATAAATAAGAAACACACTAACAGGCTTCCCAGTCTAAGTCCACTTTGTTTTAAGAATAATTTCCATTAAAAAAACCTCTGCTTTTTTCCACATGCCGCGCTCTTTATGTGTACAATGACAGTGAGTCTCACCGTGCTGTCGGCATGCATGGAGGAACGACGCTCCTCTTTACTGTCAGTGGCTGGAAGTCTTCATCCATGTTGTCAATGTTATCCATGTTCTCAGAGCCGACGGTGCCACTGCACATACACGAGAGCCCACTCAGTAATGAACGCGAAGGTCAGTGCTCAGAGAAAATATGCAGAGTAGCTGGATTCAAACAAAATACTGCGCCGCTAAGAAAATAGCAGAATCAAAACATGATCACCTAAAACATTTTCTGTTTAAAGTTGCTCAGTGTTTCATGGTAGCAGCAGGTTAAAGACATCATGCAGCAGAATAAATGTGGCAGATATTAAAGAGCTAAAGGACCCCAAGATTTTGTACAGTATTCTGTGTGGTGGCAGCTCAAACATAAAATACTCACGTGTACAGAGGGATCTGACCTGATCTTGGATATGTACTGCAGCTGAACAAACCAAAAAAACAGGAAGGTGTGTGACAAATTTGCATCATAAAAGGGACTAAAAGAGAAAATGAGCTCCCACTGATGAACGAAATCTTACAAAGATATTGGTTTTCTGGCATCATTCCTCAGTCGAAGCTGTCGCCTGTTCCACTCAGCTCCTACAGACTTAGAAAGAACGGAAACAATCACCGCTTCATCACAATTTACCGATCTACAGATCACCTTTATTTTAACACTATAGGTACAACACATGTGCAGCAGTGTTTATGTTTTAACCCCTAAACTAAAGCATCAAACACTGAAATCTTTACCGCACTCATGTGAAGCAAGGATAGGCCTGCGAGTATTTTTCTTATTCTAACTGATCCCACAAAAAGACTAACGATGGGGTTTTTCAGCTACTGTGAAACAGCAGTCCAATGTGAGACTGGCTCAAAAATAAACTGGAGTGCATGTGTTCACTGTAATGAAGGAACATGTTACCCCAGTGCTACAGTGTGGCTCACCAGGGTGTGTTCAGTCATGTTTGCTGGCGGGGTGCTACACAAACTGGATCAATGCGGTGGGAAAAAAGAAAATGCACACACACATATATATATATATATTAGGGGTGCAACGATACTCATATCGATATTGAACCGTTCGATACAGTGCTTTCGGTTCGGTACGCATATGTATCGAACAATACAAAATTT